TAGTGCTTTCCACCCTGATCCAAACGAGGACTTCCAGGGCTACCCGGTCCTGGAGGGCAGGTGAGATCTGGGTGCTTCCTAGCCACCCTGGTAAAGCTGTATCTGCCTATCACAGCCTCTCTCCTCAGGGAAATGGAGCTGTTCTAGTCTTAAAAAGTTGCCAGCCCTCTCCTGACACTGACAAATGCACCTTTGGATGAGCAGGAGTAAAATGATGCTTCCATCAACTGTTTTGCCTGTTCATGCCCAACCTTGCCTGGGTATAGCTTCCCTCTCCATTCAGGTGCCCAGGGCTTCCCAGCAAGTCAGCAGTGGTAACTTCATAGCAGAGCTGGCAACTCAGTTCCTCCCTTAGCGTCCAGTTCCAGTGCCGGTGAGGCAAGGCAGGTCCCTACGGGGTGAAACAAGTACCGTCCAACCCTGATGCGCGGCCACTCTGTGAGGGAGGTTTTTGTAAGCACTTTGTCTCTAGAGAGAATTTGCAAACAAAAGTGGGTGTTCAGAGACAGCAAAACTCAGCTTTGTGTTAGAAAACAGTAAAACTATTTATTTAAAAAACAAAACACCCAAACCCAAGAACCCTTCTAGTCGAGACCATAAGAGGTGTTCTGTGTTTCTTTTTCTCTAAGGAAATAAGGCTGAAGGAATGACATTGAGATGTCCGAATAGAGTCTGGCTCTTCTGTAACTTTTGACTATATTCACCCATTTTAACCAAATGTGCCAAACAGATACAGGTCTCAAAAGTGTTTTGTACCATCAGTTTCATGAAAACTGCTGTTTTCATGTAACGGTACAATTAACAGACTGTACTATATCGAGAGAATGGCTTCAGCTTGTGCTCAGTGTTAGATACCAGAGAACCTGCAGAGCATTAACTCCTGCAGTACAAACCTATAGAATAATTGATTTAATCAGTTCTACTATGCAGGGAACAATTAGTTTCGAATTTTGAAACAAGATAACAAAGGTATTTGTCAGCCTTGGGGTAAGACCAGAAATGTCCCCTTCCCAAGCTATGGTCTCCAAATGGCCTCTTCCCCTTCCTACTTTAGGATGATAGGGGTTCATGTGTTGGGAAACACCACACATGCTGGTTTTCCCTGGTTTTCAGCCTTGCTGAGAGCAGAGTGAGCCACAGCCAAGCTCTCAGAGCTGGAGCACCGGAGGGGCAGGGGATATTGAGTCCCTGTTAGTGATGCTGAGAGCTGACCTGGCGCCTGTGCTGATGCTCCCTGGCACTCGTTGCCTGTTTCTGGTCACTGAGCAAGGGGCGCAGAAACGCCAAAGGGATTCTTGTGCTGGAAGGGGAGTGGTCATTCCAGCTTGCATTGGGGTGACAGAACACTGGATGCTGGGGCTCCCCCTCTTCCTTGCTGTGCTGGATGCCCTTTCGTGGGCAGAAAACAACTTTAGGACTCATGGACATGTTAGTCGTGGTTAAACTTTCTCTGCTCCTTATTTCAAGTGGGATGGGATAGGAAGTCCCTCTCCCAGTCTCAGAGAGGACCAGATTGCATTCTCAAATGATAGAACTGAACAGTTCATCTTTTACGTGTTGTTTCGCATAAATCTTGCTTAAACTTTGTTGGTACAAGATTGCAGAGACACTTCCACTGCAGCTGTGCTGAGCGTTGTTGTATGACTGCATTAAATTTCAGCCTCCATTTCCAATACAAACTCACTGATGCCTAGCTATCGGGCACAGATGTACAGTGGGAAATCCTAGGACCTTTCTTCCTCCCTTCCACATTAGTACTAGTCAGTCTATTGCACATTCCTGAGGCTCACTCTGCAGCCCTCCTTCCTCCTCCTCCTGCAGATGGGAGCTTCTTCACCCATTTATTAACTCACAGATGATACCACTATTCAGATTGACTAATTGCCACAGGACTGATGGAAAAAATCCTCCATTTTTGTTAACTTCTAGTCTAGATCCTGGTGCAAATCTGGAGAAACTCTGTTTCCACTAACGAATTCCTCTCTGTTTGCCCATCTGCCTGGGGGATCAGACTCTGGCTCATCTCTTGTTAGAGGCGCTCAGAAAAAAACAGTTTTCCCTCCTGAGGACAGGTTGATTTCACCGTGTTGTCTGTGGTTATATGTGCTAGAGACAGGCGTTGGTAAATATGCAATATATGCAGATGAGCTGCACTTTGAAAACTTGTTTCTTTTCTCACCTTCCTAGATGGCAGTTTAGGGATTCCAAGCCTTTGCCTGCACCTTAGCTCTCCATCTGCCTTTAAGGGAGCTGGGTTTGGATGCTGCCAGTGCTCCTGTGTGGCTAAATAAACAAGGCGTCAGATTGCCATGTGGGATCTAAAGCCCTGTCAGATATAGATCTGACCATCTACAGAATGAGACAGACCTTATGGGTTAGGTGTGTGAATTTATTTCCTCCCAGAGGCTGAAAACTGCTCCACTGGGAAATTGCTTAAAATCTTCTAGGCTTCCACGCAAGGCTTCTGTATTTGTATTTCAGTGTGCATGGGGCTTTGAAGCTTACACTCAGAGTGAGGATCTTACTTATTCACACTTAGTTGCCAGTAATTAAGTTCTTCCACGGAGAAATCAGGTAGCAGGACTACATCAGAGGCTGTGGTGAGAACCAGGCTGCTTTTCTCAGTTCTGTATGCGTTCTTCATTGCTGATTTTTAACCTAGGGAGCCAGACTAAATTCTGCCCCTCGTGACGTGGGTGACAAGACTCTCATCCAGTCTGGCGGTCCCTGATAAGTACATGGAGCGCGCACTGCCTGGTAACTGTCTGCTTGGATTGCTGTTACTTTGCCACAGGCTGGGAGTTCAAAAGACTCCAGATCTCTCCTGCAAAGCCACCGTGATCTCGCATCTTGGAGTCGCGCCTCCTCATGCGAATATCTCGGCTGGGAATAGAGGCTGGGGAGGGGTCAGCTGCCGGGCCCTGGGAAGGCCTGAAGAGGCTCAGGGCTTTTCTGCAGCCGGTAAGTCCCCCGTGAAAAGCCTGCACCTGACCCAAGCCGTTTTGATCTGAACTCTTTGGAATCCGTCGCTTTCTTCTGGCTACCTTCTAATTTGGCCTCGGGTCAAAATCATTTGGCAAGAACAACACTGAGGACAAGTGCCCCCTCTTTTGGCCTTTATCTTGTCTAATTACCAAGAGCATCCCTGCACAATGGAGCCGCTCCTTATTCTAATCTTTTCTTCTTTACTTATCTCCATTTTCTCTCCCTCTTCTTTTGTCTTCCAAAATCCCACGCACCAGGATTGAAAGGCTGGGTACTGGGGTAAAAGGATTGTGCTGTGAGCTGTGGGCAAATGCTCTCCCAAAGCTACAGCTTTTCTATTGCTTTTTTTTCCCACCTGCACATTTGGAGAGAGTTTCTGTCATCCCTGGTCTGTGTATCGGAGCTGCTGGCCAGGAGCAAGAGGGAGTAATGTGTCCTTTCTCTCCCTCTGTCCCGCAGAGAAACCTGTCAGCCTGACTTACCGATGCCCCTGTCGATTCTACGAGAGCAACGTGGCAAGAGCCAACATTAAGCACCTCAAAATCCTCTCCACACCCAACTGCTCACTTCAGATTGTGTAAGTCTCTTACTCTTTTTGTCTGGGTGCAAATCGCAGGTGTCAAAAAGGCTGGTTCCTACTTTGGTGGCTGCAGTTCAGTCTGTGTCTCATGCCATGATTTACAATTCAACTCTTTGTCCTGTGTGTCAGGTACAGCTGGGCCTTGCTTTACCCTACACAAATGAGCCCAGCTAGATGTTTCTCAGCTGTGTTCTACCCCTGTGATTTCCC